GAATAGACACTTTGTATCCACCAACTTTTGGCAAATGGTGATATCTTCACTTGGTCATGCTTTATCCCTCCAGTGAATTCATTAATACGGATGGGGCTTTTAAACATTTGTCACATATTGAATGAATAGAATGAATAATGCTTTGTGCCCCTGCATAAGGTTAATCTTCATCATAGTACACACGTGGCTTTCACCTCTCTGATCTTAATCAGGATACTGTCTGAAACTGTGGGCCTCTCATATGATACCTACTTGTGTTTAAAATGTCAATAGACATCCTTGTATATCATTGGCCTGCAATTTCAAAGCCCCAAAGACTGCAATAAATATTATATATAATATAATAGCATTATTGTTTGACATACTCACGATGACCCTTTCAAGCAAAGGGACTAATATGTTAGGCTTATCTAGAACTAAATGTTCTAGAACAACAATAAGCACTGAACCCTTGGGTGCTCGAGTCCTTACAAAACAGAAGATATTCTTCATTCACTTTAACCAATCAAAAAACAATTCCCAACCTCTCTGATTGGTGGATCTCACATCAGGCCCCGACAGGGTGACCACCATCAAACACACCAAATGTGGGACGATTATAAGTTTGTGTGGGACATGTTACCAACACTAAAACATACCCTGAAATTGTTAAATAAGGTCTATCTAACTATATAAAACATTGTGTTCTGCCTTTCAGCTGATAAAAATTATTTGTTCTTAAGTCCCTTCCAGTAAAGGAAAATCACCAAATGCCATTCACTGAGTCCAAAGGCAGTGGGCTTGCAACTATTATAAAAACAGTTCTGACCAAGTCCAACTAAAATCCACCAAAATAAACAATGAAAAAATAAATACAAAACAACATGAAATTAGATAGACAGTCTTAAGAATATATTAAAAACCAAAACCATTAACTTTCATATTTGAAAGGATGTGAATTATAACAACCACTGCAGGCAACAGGTTAAACAACTAAATTCTGTTAAATAAAAATTGTAATTGACCAAATTATCCATTTGTTTTCTGACAGGGAACACATGGAACGAATCACCGCTCCATTTTGATTGACAGCCGTCACAACCTACTGACTGTGTTTACTCCTTTCTTTTCAACCATTGGATAAGATATAAAAAACGGCAGTTCTATTTGTACTTATGACGGAGCGCTGTGAAATATAGGTAACAACTACGCTGCAAAAATAATAAATAAAACGCTTTCTTAAAAACGGCAAAAGATGCACGTTTTCTTAATATGACAATTAAAAACCAACAGACTGATGAAAATGCGGGACATTTTCTCAATATGCGACGTGTGGGACAAGGGGTGAAAATGCTGTGCAGTACAACGCAAAGTACCCCGACGGTTTGTAATATTCGACCACTACGTTTAGCAATACAACATAACAACCTGACACAAAAGCTTGTGCTTTATTGTTTTTTTTTTCCATAACGATAAATTGCATTTAAATAATGAACTCTAAAATAATCAGGTATGTCAGTGAGAGAGCAACTCGGAGCAACACTCATGGATAGAATATGTTTTCGTTCGGTTGGAAATTGTATTTACAGTCAATGTGTTTTTCTTGGCGAGACAGTCACTTTACAGTGATCAAAAGGAAAATAATGATTAAATAATGAAAACATAGTTCAAATTGGCTGTAAAGGAGTTCTAAAAAAAAAAAAGTAAAAAATGTTGTTCAGCTGAAGTCAGTTCAGTGTTTCAGATCATCAATTATTAAATTAATTCCATTCGGCTATAAAGCAGCTCTGCAGAAAACAGTGATGTGATGTCACTGTCCAGCTCAATTAAATACTCAAATGTGATAATGTGTTGAATGTATGTTAGGTTAAAAAGATGTGTTTTTAATCTAGATTTAAACGGAGAGAGTGCGTCTTCCTCTCGAATATCGCTAAGAAGAGTTTGGGCACTATTAATAAGAAAAGGATCTTGCATTTTGGTATTCTAGGTAGCCTATTATCAACCGGTCTGAATTTTGAAACCACAACAGATGTGAAGGACTATAATGCGTTAAGAGCTCGCTCAAGTACCGATGAACTAAACCATTTAGTGCTTTGTAAGTAATTAGCAAGATTTTCAAAGGTGTGCAATGTTTAATAGGGAGCTAAATGCCTGTAGTGTTGACAGAACCGGACTGATATGGTCACACTTCCTGGTTCTAGTGAACTCTAGCTGCTGCATTTTGGGCCAGCTGGATTTTGTTTATTAAGCCTCGCAGGGCAGCCGGCCAATAGAGCATTATCTATAATCTGAGGTCATGACCGCATGAATACACTTGCAGAGAAAGCCCACCACACTGTCATCAGATTGGCTGTGGGTTGGTTGTGGTTGATTTTTGTCTCTTGTTGTATGTTGAGTCTGGACCGAAACATTTCTTGTAGCTGGAAAACATCACATCACATCTGGTTAGAACATGGGGATTCCTTATTCTACGGCTCCCTCTAGTGAGGAACATTAATAAAATAGCTTTAATTTTCCAGTTAAAATGGCTGACCGTTTAGAATTTGCTGTATCATAAATTCATAAGTGTGTTCACTTCTTGACTTTTCCATATGTGCAAAGTTTGTGCACACAAGACATAAACATAATATAGTCATAAGGGATCATACCAGATCTTCTTGAATCTTGTAAAATAGATAACTTTTTGTCAGCTTGGTCTAGATCTGATATAGGGAAAGTAAAGGGTTATTTCACCTAAAAATGAAAATTCTGTCAGTATTTACTCACCCTCATGTTGTTCCAAACCTCTATGTGTTTATTTGTTCTGCTGAACACAAAGGAAGACATTTGGAAGAATGTTTTGATCAAACAGATCTCATTCCCCATTGACTACCATACTATGTATTTTTTCCTATGATGGTAGTCAATGGGGAATGAGATCTGTTTGATTAAAACATTCTTCCAAATATCTTCCTTTTTCATTTTCAATTTTCATTTTTGGGTGAATTAACCCTTTAAGGGTCTGACAAATAGCTTAAACTGTTATTCCCTTATCTAAAACAAGTTGACACACACCTCTCTCGTCTTCGAGACACTTTGATAGCACTTAACTAGCCAGTTGATTCAATATGGGCCAAGCAGAGAAGCGGCCAAACACCTCCACATTTTCCCTATTTAAATACAGTTACACGAGTAGTGTAACTCGACCTAGGACAGTGACGCAAAATAAAACGTTGCGTTTTTTTAAGCGTGTAAAATGGATAACTAAATTGTTTGGCGAAATACCACAGCAAGTGCTTGGGAGCGCTTCGACTCGGCACAGTAATATCATCACTCCGGAGAGTGAGAGGGGGAGAGGACTTTTCACGAGTGCTGTGGTAATCCGCCATACAATATAGTTATCCATTTTACAGTCTTGTAGTGTGAGAAGTACAGTGATCTGATGACTTGTGTGTTCTAGTGTGTTCCTTCTTGCATTACATTCCAACTTGAAAGCTTTAGAGGAAACCCTCCCTATTCATTATATATAATCAGCAGTTATGTAGTCCTAACAAAAATGCAACATGCTCAGCACCAAGGAAATGAGCTTAAACTGCTGAAACTTCATTTAACCTTGCGTACATTATCATCATGGCAAATTAGATTTTCTTTGGAAGTTTACACATTTTTCTGTCTTTAAATCACAGAACGTGCATGTAAAATAATGTGAAATGGTTTTTGATATTGAAGGGTACATATCATGCTTTTAAATCATTCATTTTTTACATAAATCATACCGTTGTGGTCTATATAAAACATAACTGCAATGCTTGGGTCTGAATTCCTCATTATTATAGCTCCACAGGCCCCTTTTCTACCCCTTTTCTGATGTGCGTCTTTGAGCGACCCGTTTCAAAGCGGCCCCTTTAAATAAAAAGGAGATGCGTCATACCCCACCCGCTCTCCAGGTCGATGAGTTCACGGTCGGTCAACTCCCCGCGTTCGGCCATTATTGTAGTTTGATTAGAGATATACGATTATATACGATACCTTCAAAGAACATTTTTATTCACACGTTAATAAAATGTCAACAACAGAAGACTTGTCCATCAAGCCTTACATATTCGAGCCAGAGCGAGCGAGTTGGTAAAGACGACGAACCTGCAGAACAACCACTTCTTTGGTATGTGAGTTAACTGTTTTGTGTTATTATTTCTCTTGTTAAAACAAGCACACTGACAAGATAAATGACTATGGTCTAATCTTACCACAAAAAAAATCTGTATTGACAATATGATACGTTTAGAAAAGCATCAGAAAACAACACAGCTAAATGACCATTGATGAAACTCAAGAACAATAATACTGCAGACGTGTAACGTTACTTCAAAACAAAACAAAGAAAGACAAAGGTACTGCTAAACCATGACCACCATGTGTTTTAAGAAAGTAAAGTACTTTATCTTTATTAACGATATTTACATCTTATCGAAAGGCTCTGTTCGTCGTCTCCAAAGATACAGTAGAAGGAATTTACCTCTCATTCAGACGAAGTCAATCGGCAAACCCTTCTTTATACTGGCGGAGGTTGTTGAAGTGGGAATCCTTGAAGTGCTTCAGGTCACTACATCCAACAACCGAACATTTTGACTTGCCCTCTCGTAACGTCTGCATCATTGAGCTCGGACTACAAAATCGTAGCGAGAAATAATAATGGCGGATTGCTCGAAGTTTTGGACCGGAAGTCAATGTCCTTATTTGGCAGTTCCGCTGCAAATACGGTGACGTGATGGTTAAAAAAAAACGTCATAGAAAACAGAAAAATCTGAACAAGTTGAAAAATATGACCAAAAGAGAATATAAAGATATAAACGAAGTACCTGAAGAGAATAATTTCATCTTTTCTGTACTTATAAACACTCCAAATATACAACAAAATGCATTTAAGGGCTAAAAAAGTGGATTTTTCCTGATATGTCCCCTTTAAAACACTGGCTGTTGTGTACAACATGCAAACATTTAGCTTTTTTCATATTTCATCATTTCTCTTTTTCTCTTTGCAGTTTTGTCCACATCCATGGTGGTGAACCTAGCTGATGGAAAGGAACGCTGTCAAACAGCTCAACATGGTCTCCAGGCTTCCCAAGTTTGCTTCCCATCCCTCGGTCACCACCATGACCCCCCTTCCCAAAGGATCTGCCCTCCCAGTTTCCTCCATGGAGTCTAAAGTTGGATCTATAGGCAGGCACACTAGTTTGACACGTGTGCCATCCCTAAATTGGAGAAAGGGTGAAGAGGACAGTGGAAATAAAGTCCAGCACTCTGGCTGCTTGGATGAGGAGAGTAGTATAACTATAGATTCTCAGTCCCCAGTGATGGTGACTAAAAATCCTTCCCCTGCAGCTACAGTTAAATGTAAGAGTGCAGTCCCAACTTCACAAAGTAGCTGTCCCAGGAGTATACCCCAGCCTAGCAAAACCATTCCCCGCATGACTACTCCCAAACGCCCCTCCACAGGGAATCCCCTCTATAATGGTATAGCTACTCTGCATGGAAGTAATGGTGGTGGTAATGGGCGTTATGGCTCCTCAGGGCCATGTCTTGGTCATGTATCCCAACAAAAAACCCTGCAGGGCAAACTGTCCCTCCCCAACGACAGCATCAAGTCTTCCTCTAAAGAGAGCATAGTGCACTCTCAGAGTTTCACCCACTTCAAGAGGGCAGCCTGCTCCACCAGCCCACCCATGACCCGTTCCTTCTCCTTTAACAAAGCTGCAGAGCTTGCTAAAGAACTCCCCAGACCTTTAGTAAAATCTCCAGTGGCTAGATCACCCCTCATTCAGCAAAATCCAGTATTATCTGAAGGGAAAGTTGGTAAATATGGGATTGCAAGGCCCTCTGTAACTACTACTGATCATCCTTTGCCAACGACCACAATAAAGAAATCACTTTTACCCAGCTGCTCAGGTAAAAAACCATCTATGCTCAGTTATAGACTTACTCGACCAACACTCAACAAACATCTCCGTCCTGTTGTCCCTGAAACTGTCCAAAAAGAAGCCGAATTGAGTCAAAATATCCAAGATCCCACAGAGATAGTAGAAACCAGTTTAGAACCAACCACCAACAATGAAAGTATTGAAGTTACCCCAAATGAGACCTCATTTGAAGTAAAGGAAGTTGAAGGCAGTCTGGTCCCTTTCTTGGAGGTTTTGGACGTTATGTCGCTATCATCGTCCTCCTCTGTGGAGAATAATGATACTAGTGAAGAGTACATGGATGACTTTGATAATCTCGGTAATGGAGGTGAGACCCTATCGCTGCCTGTCCTTAAAAAAGGGTTAGACTACTTTGGACTATGTACAGATGCCAATACTCAAATCACCAAGTGCAATGAGGAATCATCGCTGACCAACCTACACACCTTCTTGTCTGAATCGGTTGACTGGGCAGGAATGGGACTCGCAGGTTTGAGAATTTCTTTTTCATTTACACCTCAGAACTACTAATCTTATTTTCTAGATTTTGACTGTTCAAACCCTAGGTATACCTTCAGAGTGTTATATTACCCCTGCATTGGTGCCCTAGTTTGTAAGAATGTTCATAGATGCATTTTTTTTTTAAATAATAAGAAGAACTTTTTTTAAAGAATGAAATGACAGGCTTAATTTGGTGTTATCTGATTGGTTTTGGCAGATCTTGCTGAAGACTTGCTAATGAACTAAATGAAAAACACCTCAAAGGTCATCTTTTTATCTACCTGGAGATAACTGTAATAGAGCCAGACCGATATATCGGCTAGCCGATATTATCGGCCGATATTAGGCATTTTCCAATCTATCGGTATCGGCAGTTATAATGGCCGATAAATGAATATTTCAAAAATAAAATAAAAATGGACGAAATGCGTTTCTACCATGTCGTGAGTGTATATCAGAGGGCACTCTACACCATCCCTGTTGGCAACACTCGTTTATAACGCGCCACACATCCTGCAAACTGCTGATACTGTTTTGTTGCGCGCTTCTGAAAATAAATAAATAAAAATATCGGCCGATATATCGGAATATCGGATTTTAAAACCAACAAATATTTGTATCGGTATCGGCCTTCAAAATCCTTTATCGGTCGGGCTCTAATCTGTAATACTCTTAACTTATTGATAACTATTTATTTGAGATTTAACATTAATATGTCTTGAGGGGAGGTCAGCACTTTCCGTTTTTTTGGTTTTTTTTATGTGTGGTTCATGTACATTTAATTAAATCGAGAATGTCCATCACTTTGCAAAAACATACTGCGTGATGTAGCCTTTTCGGTTTAGGTTAAACTACTTAGCATTTAGAGTGCATGCTATCACTGTGTGATTTACCCTATTAAAATGGGGTAAATTCTATCACTGCTGCGAAACAACCACCACACAACATATGAAGCATAACAAAAACTTTAGGAGTCAGCTGTTCATGACAGTCCTAAACCTGACAAAGTACCAGTACAACAAGAATTTGATTCTCCAGAATGTTTTGTGAATCTGGCCCCATATCACCCTGTAAGGGTGTTAACATTACAGGTTAACATTACATTATCCCTTAGCCACAAACCAGTGTGATTTAAACTAGTATTGTGTTAAAAGTTGAAGCATGTCATGTTAAAATCTCACAGCAAAATCTAAAAAGTGTAAGTATGCTCTATGTAAAGCCTATTTACTTGTATCAGTGCAGTGTACAGCGGTGTTCTGAAATGAGGAGGCAAAGTCCTCGCCTTTTTTAAAATGTTTTTATTTTATTTTATTTTTATTAATCAACTTTAAATTCATGTCCTAGTTTCACTTAATGTTGTCACATTTCCCTGGTTAAATAAACATTACTTTACATCAAAAAGAAGCCAAATGCAATTCTAGTTTGTATCTTTACATTAAAGAGATACTCCACTTTTTTTGGAAATAGGCTCATTTTACCTTTCCCCCAGAGTTAAACAGTTGAGTTTTACCATTTTCAAATCCATTCTGATGATTTTCTGATATTTAGAAGAAAAAATATACTATGGAAGTCAATGAGACCAGAAACTGTCTGGTTACTGATATGCGCACGTGCGCACAAAAACAAGGTGGATTTATTGCACGAACCAATCATATCTAACATAACCAATCCCATCCAATCATAGCCCAATGGAGGCATTGCCTCCTTTCATGTGACTTTCCCCATTCATTCTCAATTACCCCGTACCAAACATCACACACTTTACAGGGTCGGTTAAAACTCAATGGGCTGTTGCGGAGCCAGACGGATGTCCAAGGGTGTCCAAAATTTTAATTGGCTACATCTGTTTGACCTCCTCTTGAAAGAAGCATTTATTTTGATGTACAGAAGTGCTGCATGTTGTTAATGTATTAATGTTGAATATTAAGAGAATATTAATGTTATTTGCAAAAAACAGATGATTAAGAATAAACAATTCTCTAACATTTGTATTTTGCAACTAACAAGTGCAGGGCTGTTCAAAATCCTGCTGAATTTTGACTGGTTTCTACAATTTTGATAGCTTATTTATTAGAAATACAATGTTGTATTTCTTATAAGAAATATTTAATATTGTTGAATATTAAATGTCCCCATAAGCAAGCCAAAAGCCAAGGCAACAGTGGCAAGGAACCAAAACCTTGGAAGAAACCAGGTTCAGTCGGGGGCCAGTTCTCCTCTGCACTTCGAAAGGACAGTGTGTGATTCGGGCAGCATTACAAGTCAGATTGGATCAGACATTTAGAGTATTTGTCCATTTCCATCTGTTTGGAAGTCGAAGTAATCACGCCGGTATGGAGATGAGTTGTTGAGGATTAGTGCCGATGGCTGTCGTGTTGATGAGGCCGGCACTTAAGGATGAGTTGGGATGGGTCCAGGTGCAGGTCGACCATAGAGGTATCCCTCGGGATAAACAAAGAGACTAATGTTAGCGTAGACGCCATCCTTCTTATGATGTACCAAGTACATCAGGATTTACGGGACGTGTTCCCGGTGTTCTGACAATTCATGCTACCCATCGAGATTTCCTACTTACCGGTTATGCGCATGTGCAGACTCACGTTTTTTTATTTATTTATTAGGGCCCAAGCCCTGAAAGGGCGAAGGCCCTATTGTTTTCCTTGCGATTATTTTTCTTCTCTATTATTATAATAATTATTATTTTACTACCTTTTGGGCACTTTTGGGGCCCTTAACGTGCTCGAAAACTCTTGAAACTTTGCACACGGGTCAGAACCCGCGGCCATCAGAGCCGGGCTGAAGATGGTACCCGGGCGTGGCAGGGCAGCTCGTCAGCGCCCCCTGGAACGGGGTCCGAACACTTGGTCCATAACTCAAACACGCTTGTATGTAATAATATGAAACTCGGTACACACGTTGATCTCATCGTTTCATCTATACCTCGCGCTCTTACTTTTTACCCCAGCCCAACAGGAATTTGGCTATTGAGGTTTGTTTGTAAAACGCTCGCAATGGAATGTCAAATACTCCTCCTAGAGCTTTGATCCACATTCGACGAAACTCGGTCAGCGTGAAGTCAAGACATTGAGGATGAAAGTTTGCGAGGGGATTTTTTATATCTCGAACGGTTTGTCCGTGGCGAGGAAACGAAATCATGGCGAGAAACGTGAAACAGGAAGTGTGTTATAACTTCAGCATACATTAACTGATCTTGATGAAACTTCAGCAGTGTGTTCGCTGTAAGAGGACGATCACATGGATGTGACTATTGTGAGTCAAAGTTATAGCGCCACCAACTGGCAGCAGGAAGTGTGTCACTTTCAAAATGCTTAGATATCACCCTTTTATTTTTACCCGATTTGCTTCAAACTTCATATGTATAATGTAAACATACGGCAGATGTAGACCTGTGAATGGATTCTTGATATCTTTGAAACTGTTGCCGTGGCGACGCATCAAACTTTACCCTTCTTTTAGGATGCTTTTAGGATGCTTTTGAGACCCTTAGCATGCTTCAAATTGCATGAAACTCGACAGACACATCACATTTATTAGCCAGTAGACATGTGCAAAGTTGCAGAAACGGGCGTGGTGAGGGCTCAGTAGCGCCACCTTTTGACAAAAGTGGGGTGGTTAGTTTTAACTAGAGTTACAAAAATTGGTATGTATATTGTACTCCTCGAGCCGGACAACTTTCTAATTGACACTTATTAGCTAGGACCCACAGAAACTCAGATATTTTTGTTTGAATATGGCCACTCTGAGCCTTTGGCTGGCTGGCTGGCTGTCTGTGTGTGTGTGTGTGTGTGTGTGCAGGGGGAGGGGGCTTAACCATTTCACTGCTGTGTGTATGACCTGCATAAAGAAAATACATTTCTCAAGCCTGGTATTTTTTAAATAAGTTTTTATTTTTATTTTTTATAAGTAAAGGCATATAACTAGTTTAATTGTAGTGAATTGACAATAGTTTTATATAATTAGTTTATTAATCAGATTAACTTGGTCAATAAACTTGGTCTGAAAATTTGGTCCATAAATCAAACACACTTGCATGTAATAATATGAAACTTGGTACACATATAGATCTCATCGTTTCATATATACTTCACACTCTTACTTTTTACCCCAGCCCAACAGGAAGTTGGCTATTTAGGGTTGTGTTTAAAACACATGCAATGTAATTTAAATTATTGCTCCTAGAGCACTGAACCAAATTCGACGAAACTCGATCAGCGTGAAGTCAAGACATTAAGGATGAAAAAGTGCCACGGGATTTTTGATATCTCGAACGGTTTGGCCGTGGCGAGGAAACGAAATTATGGCGAGAAACATGGAACAGGATGTGTGTTATAACTTCAGCATACATTAACTGATCTTGATGAAACTTCAGCAGTGTTTTCGCTGTAAGAGACCGATCACATGGATGTGACTATTGTGAGTCAAAGTTATAGCGCCACCAACTGGCAGCAGGAAGTGTGTCACTTTCAAAATGCCGTGGCAACGAAACAAACTTTAACATTATTTTTTGATGCTTTTGGGACTCTTAGCTTGCTTGAAATTGCTTGAAACTCAACAGATACATCACATTTATTAGCCAATAGACATGTGCAACTATGGCAAAAGATTAAAGTAATGTCAAAAAAGTAAACACTAAAAGCCTCATATCTTCTAAAAATGTAATTATACATCATTTGTTTCTAAATTAAATTATACAAATATTATAACTTCCCCAATTTTTCCTTTTTTTTCATTTAAGAATTGTGTTTACGTTCAAAAACAGCCAGAATTGTTGTAAAATTCATAAAAAAATAATAATCTGAGTCATACGTAGTGCTATACTGCCCTCTTGTGTTCAATATCAGGTAGGCCTATTGTGTATATTCCCACCGGTTAATCAACGTGTGACTCCGCTGGGACTTGGGAGCTTTTAAATCGCTTACTTAAAACCGAAAGTCAAAATACGGATGTCCGCACAAGACATTAATGGTGTGGAGTAGAGCGAGCATTTTAAATAAATTCCTATTAAGTAGGATTGAACTAAACAGAAAGAATGTTCACTCTGTTCTGCTGGTTCCTCGCTGGTGGATCATATGATTACTTTGTCATAATCTATGACAAAAATGCTATTATAAACCATATTAATAATAGATAATACACATTGCTCTTATTTTTGAAAAATACATTCATGAAAAACAAGATAACAAAAATCATTAAAAAAAAATATAGCCATGGCTGCTATAAAGCAACATATAATTGAAAGGCAATTAATAATCTGTCATTACGTCACTGCATTATGATATTACGGCTCCAATACGGTGCAGCACAAAGCACTTATGTGCATCCCGAGCGGAGAATGATGTGCTTGAAGCCACATGAAGTTACAGCGCATTGAGTCCGTATTGAAAAGTTCAAAGCACAAAGGAAATACATATTTATGAACAGTGTATTATACATTATCTATCTATGCAATAGTTTATTGAGCCTTTCTTTTAAAGGTTTTAAATTTCAGTTACTGTGTGCGTGAAGAACAATTATAGTGCTCTGACTCTAGTGTTGTGATCTAACCGACAGCGTCCGACACCCGGTAGAAAGTAACACGATTAAGTTACAGCAATAAAGTCCAGCAAGAAAAAGTTTCTTCATTCGAAAATATAGACCTTTAGACCTTTATCTTAAAGATCCAGTATAATAGGATTAACATTGAATCATTGAAGATCGTTTCATCATTGACTGTAACCGAATGTGACGTGCTGTTTGAATGCTGAATGGAGAATGACTGACAGGCGCAGAGAGGGAAAAGTTTGTGTTCTTGAATTTAATGACTTAAATATTAATTTCTATATCACATAATAGCTTCAGAACACTAATAATACAGTACACAAAAACTTTATGGTACTTTAGAAAGTTTTTGTGCCTTTGTGCCTAACAGAATAGTATATGCACAATATAGAATTTGAATCAGCCTCGTCAAAGATGGCAGTGTCAGAGCCGATACCGATCCTGAGTATCTAATCGGCGCACTTCTTTTCAACAGTCAAATTGAAATTGAAATTGCTTGAAACTCAACAGATACATCACATTTATTAGCCAGTAGACGTGCAAAGTTTCAGAAACGGGCAATGTGCAAGGACTAAATAGCGCCACCTTTTGACAAAAGTGGGGTTGTTAGTTTTATCTACAGTTACAAAAATCGGTATATACATTGTACTCCTCAAGCCGGACAACTTTCTAATACATAGTCATTAGCTCGGACCAAGAGGAAGTCAGATATTTTGGTTTGAATATGGTGAGCCTCTCTCTGAGCCTACGTCCCTGTATGGCAAGCCCTTTTAACATTTAAAAGCTAAGTTTGCCTGTCCGGAATTAACATTGTAGATATCAACAACGTCTTTCTGTCTATTCGTAATTACATTTTGGATAGTTTGTATTATCATTTAAGACATCTGTAACATAATTGTGACTAGTCGAAATGACAGAGTATGGCAAGCCGTTTTAACATTTAATCATAAAAGGGCCAAAGCCTTCGGCACCGCTACCCGGGTGCCTTTAGGTAACTAAAGGAACCGGGGTTGCAGTGCCACCGGCTTGGGCCCGCCATCGCTGCTCGCAGCTATATTTTATTTTTTTTTTACAAAAGGTACATTTTCCTGTTATAATGTATAATTTCCCTTTAAAAAATGCTTACTACCATATGAATATTTGTACGGTCAGCCAGCTGAAAAGGAATAACTGAAAGTTTCAGTTACTATAAGAAAAGGTGTACTTTGACAAGTCAAAGATGAATATTTTATGATAATTTTTTACTTTTCACACCGTTTTAAAAATAAAAACAGTAGTCTACAGTATACAGTAGCTACTCATAACTTAGAATTGTATTAGAATTGTATTTCATACGACTTTAATCGGCATTCTGTGATCAATTCGCGCTACGGTAGCATTTTTCGACAAGGAAGCAAAAATCGACAGAACACCGGTTCCAGCTGATCTAAACTATGCAGTCTAATTTTTAATTAAAGAAGTCTATAGTGAGTAATGTGTATGCTAGGCCTAAGAGATGTCTTTTTAGTCTAGATTTGAAATGACAGTGTGTGTCTGCTTCCTGGACAATGTAAGGATCTAGGCCTGCAGTCGATTTTGATATTCTAGGTATTATCAACTGGCTGAAATTATGAGAACTCAATAGACGTGAAGGACTAAGGGGAGGTAAACCATTTAGTGCTTTGTAAGTAATCAGCAATATTTTAATTTTTAATAGGCAGCCAATGCTGGGTTGACAGAGCCGGGCTTATATGGTCATACTTACTGGTTCTGGTAAGAACTCGAGCTGCTGTAACAATAACGGAAGCTTGCGGTGTAAGGTTAATCTGAAATGTTATTTAGTAGTATAAATAACTAGAAATGATGGTTAAAAACATAAAGAAATACAATGCTAATACGAGGTTTAGATGGAGCGTACAGCCTTGGAGCACACAGTCAGCTGGCAGCAAGGCAGACAGGAGCCGAGATCCACCCCTAAAGTAGCCTTGGCCACCCCATGTTTTAAAGTCTAGTTCCACCACTCTCAATGGACTCAAAGAAGGGAAGAGAGATGCGGACTTAAAGTTTGCCTGCTGTTGTCGCTGTTGAACAGTGTCACTTTAAAAAAACAAGGGATTTATACACTTTTTTTTAATCTGTGTATTTTTATTTTTATAATATGGATTATTTTCTCATTCATTTTTTTTATGAGGCACTGCCTCCTCTGAGGAAATACCCCTGACTTGTATGTACAAGTATTTTTGTCATCTTGCAATATAGCAATGTATTTTGTATCAGTAATTCTCAGAATTGTATGCAATATTGTAAATGCATAATGTATAAAGTATGGTTTGATGCTGCTTTATATTTTGGCCAAAACAATGTACCTTAGAAGGCAGCATAATGATGGAACAGTATTCCATCTTGAATGTGCCTAAAATACTTAAAATTAGCTTTTGAAAAAGATTTTCATATTTAAACAATTCGAAAATATCCATACTGTTACCAAGATCACTTTAAAATATTTTTTCTCTGTCACTTTCTTACCCATTTTCTTGTCTGTCTTTCAGCTGGTAAAGATGACTTTGTACATGGGACATCTCCTACAGGCGATTTCCCTCATGGCTCGTCTCTGGACTTGTCGCCCTCAGACAGTTCTGGAGGGACTTACATGTGGGATGAAGAGGGAATGGAGGCACTGGCAGACACTGGACACCCCTGTGGAAGCTTTGGCTCTGATCTCAACAGCATTGTGAGTCCAAAGCTTTATGAAATGATTGACCTAAGCAACTTACAAGAGATAAGTAACAGAGTGTGTATAAACATTTTCATAATTAGTGGATTATTGAGTTTATTTTTTTAGTGGTTCTTTAACTTGCTCGTACAACTAGCCTTTGTGGTCTTTGGCCATGCGGTGGAGAATTGCTCCTATATAGGCAACTCTCTGCATTCTTCTTTCCTCCTAAAATACACTGCCAAACTTGTCTGCATCAGTGTGCTTCATGATTGACTTTAAAATAGTATGAACACAGTTGATTTTTTTTTGTGTCTTTAAAGGGGACATAAAGCACACAGTTTCTGCCAATCTCAATTCAATCTTGACTACCTAAAGAGTATTATTGCATCCTTCATATCTCAGAAGAGTCTTTCATTTTATCAGATTTATAAAAGACAGCTACAGCTGTACCGGTTCTTTCTGAAAACATTCAGCAACTCATGGAGGCGTGCCGTGAAGTTCTTCCGATGACTTCTGTAACCTGAACAAACCAAGTTGATGGCCGTTGCTCTTGCTCTTGCTCTGGTTGATGTGTGTGTGCACTCTTCCGGGAGAAGTGCCGGAGGAATTCCGCCCTTTATGACATCATACAGAGCTATGCTCCAAGAAAACTTTGTCGAAATTTGTACGAACAATGATGGAGTGTTTTTGACACAGAAATACTTTGTCATACGTCCTACTTGTTTAGGATGCAAACCCAGATAGCAAACTGACATTGAATCAACGTGGAAACATGACATCGAAACAACATTGATCTGACATTGTTTTGCTCATCGAATTAACGTTGAACCAACGTCAGACGCGTCATTCTTTCAAAACTAACGGAAAATCAACTTGAAATCAACGTTGTTTCAACGTTATGAAAGCAAACCAATTTTCGATTTTCATTTAGCTTTGAAGAATGCCGCGTCTGACGTTGGTTCAACGTTAATTCGATGAGCAAAATCAACGTTGTTTCAATGTCATGAGAGACGTCGTTTCCACGTTGATTCAATGTCAGTTTGCTGTCTGGGAACCCAACTCTTTAAAGGGATACTCCACCAAAAAATGAAAATTCTTTCATCATTTACTCACTATCAAGTTGTTGCAAACCTGTATGAGTTTCTGTCTTCTGCTGAACACAAAGGAAGATATTTTAAAGAACGATTGGAACTTTGGCACCATTGACTTGCATAGTATTTTTCATATTTTTCTATTATGGAAGTCAATGGTGCCAAACTGTTTAATTCCAATCATTCTTCAAAATATCTTCCTTTGTGTTCAACAGAAGAAAGAAACTCATACTGGTTTGCAACAACTTAAGGGTGAGTAAATGATGACAGAATTTTCATTTTTGGGTGGAGTATCCCTTGTATCCCAATGTACATAATCAGTTTGCATGAAAAAGCATTAGACATCCCCTTTAAAGTGAGGTTTGTCTTGTGCTCAAAGCCAAGAGACTGACTGGATAAGGCTGTCAGCTTGAGTTATTGAAGGTGTGTCTCTGATCACTCATCATAATTCTGAGAACACCAAATTGGCTCCTGCTGATAGTCATTTGTCTTTCTCCTGGAAGCAGATGATCAGATCGTCAGCTTCATGTCAGTTAGTAAATGGTGAGGGGAAATCAAAGTCAAATGAGAGGATGACTTTGCATTTATGGTCAAAGTGCTAGCTTTTATCCTCCTTTGCATCAATTGATTATTTGTTAAATGCCTCCCCCTGTTATATTTATCTTTCTGTGTTTAAACCAGATTACAAATCTTTCGATTAGTGTAAACGCGTCTCTGTTTAGTTGTTATTTAGCAAAATATTTATTTTTGTAAATAGGGCACGTATTAAATAAACAGCTGCATTTCTCTATTGCTTTTAATGATTTAGTGTATTATAGTAATAACTTTTGATCAATAAAATTTGTTAATTATATTTGGCACTGATGAGTGTGTGGGTAAGTCGTTTTTCAAATATGATGTTTGGAAGTTAGTCGCACCGACACAACAACAAACGTTTTGCCAATCAGCAGTATGTCGGTCGAGGAGAGAGAAAACGATCAAGACAAGAGGGAGATTTGAAGAAAGACTGCAGAAATAGAGATGGGACACAATACAAAAGAGAAAAGATGGAAAATAAAGGGGTATGTTTAGGCAAGAGCTTTAGGTCCCTCGTTAATATCAGAAAAGCTGTCCAGCGGTGGAGAGAGCTAAGTGGGAAGGCTTGAAAACAGATGCAGTCCAGGCTAGGGAAAATTTGGCATGCCAATTTTGCAAATAGAGCTTGAGGTAAGTGGTTTAGCGCCATGTTGCGTTGATCAATACACCATTTCCTGTTGCACTTCTCAGTGAAGAGACACATTAAAGCCCACGTTGCAAAAACACGCCTAAATTTTGAGTCTGATGAACCACCATACACCATTTCTGAAGGAAACCAGCTGAACAAAGCAGCTAAATGAGTGCTGTGCAGCCTCTTTAGTAGCCTGCCTTCAAGGGCCACATGGGGGCAGCAGAAACTCACAAACATTCAAAGCGTCAACCATTTCAATAAGCTTATCATCTTACTGATCATCCTACATATAGTTCATTTCTTCACCCTAATGTTGTTCCAAACCCATATGGCATTCTTTTTTCCTATGAAACACAAAATTAACAGATGATTAACAGTTAATTAACCGATAATTCACAGATAATTAACAGTTTTGCAGATTATCTTTTACATGGAGCAAAAATAAATGGGAACTGGAGCTATCAAGCTCCAAAAGTAAAAAAAAAAAAAAAAAAAAAAAAAAAAATATATATATATATATATATATCCTAAAAATAGATTATAGTAAATGACTTACACTATTTTCAAGAGATATACAGTAATATTGTTTTGTTTAAAGGTACAATATGTGATTCTCTACAGATTTTTTTTCCTATGAAACACAAAATTAACTGTTTTGCAGATGATCTTTTACATGGAGTGAAAATAAATGAGAACTAGAGCTATCAAGCTCCAAAAGTAAAAAAAAAAAAAAAAAAAACATATCATAAAAGTAGATTATAATAAATGACTAAACTATTTTCAAGAGATATATATATTTATATCGTTTTGTTTAAAGGTACAATATGTGATTTTTTACAGATTTTTTTGTTTTTTGTTATACTGTTTGAAAGTCTCATAATTCTTCCTGCTAGCAATGTCGTTTTTCAGCAATGTTTAGCAGAATGGTTGAAGCTACACATAGACCCAGTGAGGCAGAAATAGTGATGTAATCAGATCATGATTGAGTTTATAGTATTTTACAATGGCTTCGAACACTGTTCCGTCAATTATAATAGGGCTTGTATCTATCTGTTTAATAAATAACTTGATATCTTGTAAACACAACTTTGTTTCCAGACATTCTGGATTTAGTATTTTCATCCTTTCCTGTCTATTGGCAGTATTTGCCTTAAGGCGGGCATACACTGTGCGATTTTCGTCCGATTTTGAGCCGAATTCTGACTCGTGCGACTCATTTTCGTGTCGGACCGATTTTCAGCTTTGGCGTGCGTCGTTTGTCGTGCAGTATTTGTGCAGTGTACAGGGAGAAACGAGAGGCGATTAACCTCTCACGATCGACAATCGGATGGTCGGATGAATTTCTGGCATGTCAGAAATTTTGGTCGCTCCTCGTGACTATATCGCACAGTTGAAGCAAAGCTACGAACCGATTGCCCTAAACTCAGTGTTTTTTCCCTCACTGCACCTGCGCGAAAACAGAAGTTTAACCATTTCATCTGCAGCAAAAGTAAAATTAAAATAAAAACGAGCTACAAACTACTGTTGCTTACCTCCAGTTCGTGTTGCAAAATGGATAATATTACCCACCGTCTTCAAGGCACCTGATATGTAACACCTCTTTTATTATTTTGTCAAACAATGTTTTTGAAATAAACCTGTTTTTAATTTTCATTGATGATTAATAATGGCTATGTTCGGACATATTATAGACTGTTAATAGTTATTTTATATATAATTCATTGTAATCGACCTAAATGTTTTAGACAATTTTTAATGAAGAGTAAGATTAATATTTTATTATCCTCACAGCACGTTGGTTATGTGCTGTGAAAATATTGCGTGGCAAATTAATTATAATAGCGGATCAATTTAATAGTAAAATTAGCCTATAGGCCTCCCCTAATAATGATAATATAATAATAATAATAATTAAATGCATAAATTGAAAATACTAAATCATCTTGATACTGATAGCAGATGCTTGTTTTGACAATATCTCTGGATACATACACGTAAATAGGCGCAATCCAGGGGGTTATCGCAGATATTACACGTATAGTGTGAGCAGTGAAGTCGCAGCTCGACGATCGGACCGTACAGTGTGAGCACATAAATCCTGAACTTTGGCTTTGCATCGCATGCGATTTACTCGTTGAGTGTGAGTAGGTACCTTGCTGAAATCGCACAGACATCGCACAGTGTATGCCCGCCTTAAGTTTTCACAGGGGCTCTGTAGCTTTTTCAGCTTGGGACTTTGTTTCCTTTAAAAACTATCCTACAACTTATTCGACACTTGACTTAACAAAAGCTGATTATTTAATCACAAACGGATCATTTTAATCACACAAAAAAATCATTTTGCTTTCTAGCTGAAATGAGCACTAGTGCACTGTAAAAAAAATATTTTCAAGATTTATCACAACATATTTTTTAATATAATAATTTATTTAGTTGAGATAACTTATTTTTTTGAGTTTCTGACGATCAATCTCCTTCATTGTATTAACTCACTTTTTCCAGTTCAATCAATTTAAAATTTTAAGGCAACCCAGGTTACTTACTTTTTTAAGTTAAACCAACAATATTTTTTACAGTGTAGTAATCACAACATTTTTCTTTTGTCAAATCAACTTAAAGGAACACTCCGACTTTTTGGGACTTTAGCCTATTCACCTTACCCCCCAGAGTTAGATAAGTCCATACATACCTTTTTCATCTCCGTGCGTGCTATAAGT